CTTCACTTGTACTTCATTTGAGTGTGAATAATAATGTTTATAACTTTGAAAGTTTAAACACTCAATTCGATTTGTTAGTAAATAAGATGGACTTGTTTGTTATAATCAAAACATTAAGGTCATGATCAACCATAAGTCAACACGAAGAAGGTTAAAGGGTTCGAAGGTGGAATAAAGAAGACAAACGCGAATATTTTTTTGTAAATCGCTATGCGGGTAACACCTAAAACATCTTTTTATTTTATAAATACTACAACAAATATTATATTCTTGTGGATACACAATTTAATCAAAATCTCATTCAAATAAATCAACCTTCAAGCCACTCCCAATTTAATAGTTTGTTAATCAAACACGTATCCAAGCATGCCAACCCTTAACAATAGGGCCATCTTTGTCTTCGAGCATGAAGTTTAGTTGGCGGATAACTTAGCCATATTCCTAGCTCTTCGACGATGTTTTAGAGAAGAGAGCGACAGGACAAGATTCGACTTTTGTTGTATGCATTTCCACCTCACGAGGCTGCGCCGCCTCGCTGGCCATCCACCCTGTGTCTCTCCCCTTTAATACATTATTTTTAATTAATTAATTTTTTTTTTACAATTTCTCTTATCTTCTAATTATTTTTGTTTTTATTTATGACGCGTCAGAATGTTAAGAAAGTAGCATCCCACGTTTCTTCTTCATACACCCAACAACGATTTTTCCACGATTTTTTATGATAATAATTTATTTTCTCCACCTACAAAAATAAAAATAAAAGAACAAAACCCCATATTAAAAAATCCCTAAACTGTTCATCCAATTCCTTTGCGTTTCTCAAATCCAATATCCATATCGGCCTCAGTTGGAACGATCGGTGGATCATTAATTTTGATTATTTGGTTAATTAATCATATTTTTTTTTGGGATCGATCGATAGATCTATCAGTGGAATTTTTTAGATTCATTATCGATAAGTAAAAAGAGATAAATCAGAGAAAATGGAACAGAGCAGGAGAGCGGTGGAGTCTTACTGGAGGTCGAAGATGATAGACGGTGCCACGTCGGACGAGGACAAGGTTACTCCGGTCTACAAATTGGAGGAGATTTGCGAGCTTCTGAGGTCATCCCACGTCAGCATCGTTAAGGAAGTATCCGAATTCATCCTCAAGCGCCTCCAGCATAAATCCCCTGTCGTCAAACAGAAAGTTCGTTCCGCCCCGCATTTGGTCCTTTTTTTTAATGGAATTGAGATATGCTTGTCTTTTTTTTTTTTTTGTTTAGTCAATTATCTAGTCCATTTGATTTGACTATGAAATTGGGTGTATTATAAGAATTTATGATGCTGGGATATCCAAAAGCTGTATGATCATTAAGAAATAGAGTTGATAAAATATATTATACTTGATTTGAATATGGCTTATTAGGAACTCAGTCACTCTCTCTTTCTAAGCTTGGAATTTCCATCTATATTTTGTTTTTGTTTTCGACCATATTTTTTTATTTTTGTTTTAGTGAGTTAAAATTTGTATAATCAATTGCCACTGGGTTTCATTTTGGACTATTGGTCATGTTTGCTTGTAAAAACTCAATGTGTATGTTTGTGTGAATTTCTGCATGTCAATCAATCTTGTTCTTCTCCCCTTAAGGGAGGTTCTATAAGCTCACCCTTAGATGTGCCCTTGTTTGATACCCATTTTTTCCAAAATACATTTCTCTCACTCTTCTTTTTAACCATACAATCTTCAATAAAATAATATTACATGTAAAACCAAAATTTTTCCTTATTTTCTAACCTCACATTCTCCATCAATCTACTATTTCAAAATGCACGCGTGCTATAAAAATGGGAAACAAACAGGCACTATAAAGATAAATCAAAAGTATCGGCTAGTATCATGCATTTTGGAATCACTTTGTTGAACTAATGATCTGAAAGGATGAGAATTAGTCTATTGATTAATTTAATTTTGGAGTGGATTAGGTTCAACAGATTTTGGGTTTACTTAATAGGTTCCTTTGAAACTTAATGTAATGGAATGGAATGGACTTGACCTGAATAAAAGGATAGAGAGAACTGAGAATTGAGGGAATATGATTTTGTCTGGGTGATTTGTGGGTTCTAGTCTAGCTCCAAATTACTGGACAGTTCAGAGCTTACTGGCAGTTCAGCCATCAAAGTGAAACTTTCTGACTCCTACTGGTTTGAAAAGTTGATGGGGGCAGAACCATCTGCATCTGCATTCGCCTTTACAATTTTTGACTCTTCAAGGAAAAAAGTAGTCATAACTATTGCTCTTAAATTTGTATCAGCACAATACTCATGTAGTGGCCATCTGATTTAATTGTTTTATTTAGGCACTGAGGGTGATCAAATATGCAGTGGGAAAGTCAGGAGCAGAGTTCAGAAGGGAGATGCAGAGGAACTCTGTAGCTGTACGTCAGTTAATTCATTACAAGGGAGAGCCAGATCCTTTGAAAGCTGATGCGTTGAACAAGGCTGTGCGTGAAACTGCTCAGGAAGCATTATCTGCCATATTTTCTTCAGATGACCACAAACCTGTGCCTGCTGAGAACAGTCTTGGTAGTCGTATACAAGGTTTCGGGAATACCAACTTTGAAATGCCATCAGAAGATAAGAAGTCCTTTCTTAGTGAGGTGGTTGACATTGGAAGTTCTACTATTAAGCAGGGTTTAAGTAATTTAACACAATCTCCATCCCTCAAAAAGAGTATTGAGACTGGAAGTTACAGGAGCCCGAATCTTCGGAGATCGTTGACTATTGAAAATGATAACTCTGATCGATATGAAGGAATTGGCTCTCATGGCGAAACTCAGAACAGTGCACGCATCTCAAAGTATGTTGGTTCTGGAAATTCTTTTCCAGATTTCAGTGCATCCCGGGCAGAAACGACTAATGGAGATTCTCGTTCAAGTTATGGTGAAAAGACTCGTGAGGAGAAATTGTTAGAGACCATTGTGACGTCTGGTGGTGTCCGTCTCCAGCCAACTCGAGATGCACTTCAGGTTTTCCTTGTGGAAGCATCAAAATTGGATGCCTTGTTGTTAGGGCATGCTCTTGAGTCAAAACTTCAATCACCTCTGTGGCAGGTTTGCTTCCTCAGTGACTGTTCTGTTTATGGATGTATAGGAGAGTGACCACCTTCACAGTTTTGGAGATATTATTTGATGTTATTGCTTAAAATGATATGTCAGGCTAATAAAATGATATAATGAAGGTTTTCACTTATTATATTTTCCAACATTGCTACTTGTGTCAGGTGCGCATGAAAGCCATTTCCGTCCTTGAGGCAATTTTACGAAAGGCAGATGATGAACATTTTTCTGTTATATCATCTTATTTTAGTGATAACAAGGATGTTGTGGTGAAATGTTCTGAATCTCCTCAAGCATCTTTGAGGGAGAAATCAAATAAGGTAATATTTTATAATTTGCTCCATGCCAATGCCACTCCTATGCCAATAAATTATAAAACAGAAAAAGATAAAAGGAACAAACAAAAAGAAAAAATCAAAGTCAAAAGGGAAGGAAAGAAGAAGGAGAACATTGCTGGGAAATCTTTTCTTTCATCGTTTTTTGAATCTCGATGTTCATACAAGATAAATAAGGGACGGGATCAAAGCCTTAAAGATCTTGACCCACATATAGATTAAACCAGAAGCAGGAGATGGGAAGGAAATAACTGGGTGACATTTCTGTGAAAACAATATTTGCAACCGCAACACCCGAAATTAATTACCATTTGTTGAATGAGATTTCACTACTCGTTAGCGATTTTCTCTTTTCCTTGGAAGAACTGAATGCAACTTATTGTTTGGTGACAATATTTTTGTTTGATTGAGTAGTGCTTCCAATTAATTTAAGTCAATGTGTGGTCATTTATGGACAGGTGTTGAGTCTTCTGGGTGGTGAACAAGCTAGTAGTGGAGTCCATCAGCTAGATAAATCTGTGAAGGCTGAGACAGTTGCATTTCAGATGCCGAATTTATTAGACACTGGTGATTCTGATGATCTTATTGGAGTGGAAAATTCTACTGAAATGCATGGCGATCAAATAATTGAAAATCCGGCGACATCTGCCTCTCCTCTGATTGATGATATATTTGGAGACAGTTTCAGAGTCAGTGAAAGCACCAATGGAGTCAAGTATGATGATGATCCTTTTGCAGATGTCTCTTTTCACACCAATAACGATAAGGACCAGGCACTTGATCTATTTTCTGGGATGACTGTTGATAAGTCAGGAGCTACTGAAGCCCATTTAGCAACTCATAAAACTGGACCTGAACCATTTGATTTTTTAAGTTCCAATTCCGAAGCTTCCCAGGATCAAAGTAATTCTAGAAAAGATGTTAATGACTTGATGTCTGGCTTGTCTATAAATGGTAATGATCCATTTGCCAAACTAAGTGGAAGCTCTGCCGAGAAGCATGTTGAAAATGTTGGCTTGGAGTCCAATGATGTCTTCAACAGCGTACTCAGTTCTCAAGCTACTGGGGTGAATGCTAATCCTGTGTTCCCTTTGGGTGCTATGGGATATAATTTTCCTGCTGGCTTGATGTTCAATCCATCATTAGTTTCTCAGCCAATGGCTTACAATACCATGGAGAATCTTTTTGCTCAGCAACACTTTCTCACGACAATGTCCAACTTTCAGCAGCTAAGGAACCTGCAACCAAGTGCAAGTGTTAGCCATGCTGCTGGATATAACGGAGGGTTTTCATCACCCATTCCAGATATTTTTAATCCTAGCATTGCTACTCAAGCTCCCACCTCATTGATGAATGATTCAAAGAAAGAGGAGACTAAAGCATTTGATTTTATCTCGGTGAGTTGGCCTGGATGCTTTATCTGTCTCTTTCTTCTGGGTACATTATAGCAATGGTTGAGACCAACTAAAGCTACAAAGAAACATATTTATGCATGAAACATAGTCAAATTTACCAAGTACATTGTCAGGATTCTTCAAATTAGTTCGACAAAGATGCACCTTGTAGGAAGTCTCTAACTGTAGGAGATGCCTCCCTTTTCCTTGGAGATCCCGCCATTTTCATAATCTTTACAATGCATTCGGAAGTTTATTTTCATAGGGATATTAACTGGGTTCACGTGGAAGTTGGTACTGAAGTATTCATTATTTTTAGTGCTGATCAAGGGTACATTGGGAACAGAATGCAATAACTTCTTAGGAAAGTGATGCTCAATTATAAAAGTGATTGGGTAGTAATATCAAAATCAGAGTCAAATCACTCGAAATTTTAGATTATTAAATACTTGAACGGCAAGAATACAATTTATTTATCACAGAGGTGGTGTGATTGCATGCACATTGTGCATTGCAAAGGAATAAAAGGCTGATGTTATTGCTGTTTTCTAAATATTTTAGTAGGACACAGGCACCACAGGCACATGAATTGTGTGTATGTGCGGGTGCCCTTGCTTGCTTTAGTAAATGTCTGTCCCCTGTCTCGTGACTGAATTAAGAAATTAATCATTTACACCCAGATATAGCACAATTATCACAGGACCAAAGTGCAAGTTGTTGGCAACTTGACCTCGTCTGTCAGAATTAAAAAAGATATTGTCATGATTGATGAATGCTTGTCTGAAGTTTGTCAATGTCTAAGACATGTCAAACACCAATACAACACTATAGGAGGTCTGTGCCGACAATGTATGGAGAACCATCACTTATGGATGACCTTTTAGTGCTTCACATGGACTTTGTTTGTCGTAGTCCATTTTATATTAAAACTGTACGTATTTTAAATTTATATTTGTGAGATTTATCTGTACTAAAGTCATATAGATTGATACCTCTTGCATTGTATAAGGTATTCATTATCATCATTCATGAATGGTATATTTGGTGGTACTTGAAGTCTTGTTATCTATTTTAGGGCAAGAAAATGTCTTGCGCACTTTGTATGGATGAACCATAGTTGCATCTTGGTGGTTAGGGGGTTGCTTTCTAAAGGGATGTTGCAACGCACGCTACTATATCATGCATATTTAAGAACTAAGGATGTAGAACAGTTCTTGTTCCTTCATTCATTGTTTGCATCCTATTGAGGTTTCATGTTGGGGAAATTTACCGTTTTATTGCTATCGCAGGACCATCTGACTGCAGCTCGTGATCCAAAGCGGTTGTTTTGAGTCATATTTCTTGTTAGTCCAGGTTCTCGCATGAAAGTATTTCTCTTCAATGGAAGCATGGATCTTGAAGATTAAAGGATATATTTTCTTTGGAAACTGTATGTCGACGACAAAAAGGGGATAAATCACCTGAAATTGTGAGGATGAGGCAGTGTTCATAATTGTGGAGTCGTCATATGTTTCTTGTAATAAATTGTAGAGTTCTGCAGTGATTTTGTTTACCAAGCGTGGTTCACTAGATTTATTTCTAGTTTTTTTTTTTTGAACTTTCTGTTTCAAAATTGTTGTTCCAACTGTCTCTTAATGACCAGAAGTTATGTACGAGTCTTCCTTGGAATCTCTCATTTCTTTCACACACAAATTGGAATTTTCCTGAGTATGCTGATATTACACATTTTACCATGATGACCATTAAACACAATGACAGGTTGATCTTTTTTAATAAAACTTGACGAAACGAGTGGTTGGAAAATTAATGAATATTATGGATTTCATAAAATATGTAATTAAAAATTCTGGGCCTTATATTTTCTACACTATATACAAGTCAAAGTCGACCTATTAAGTCAAGCCCAATAGAACAGCTCGCTCACAATACTGGCCTAGATTCAAGGCATCAAATCTGAAAATGGTCTAGAACACTCTGAGACAGTCATATCAAAACTACGTGGACTGGTCATATGAGTATAATATCCGGTCATTTAAAGATTCCCGAATAACTTTAGAAATGATGTTTCCTTTACTATACTTATAAATTCGAATTTCGTGTGAGATAATTAATAGAGATGATTAGAGAACAAGAAACAACAAGAAATTCAAGTCGCTAGAGAGATGATTATGAATAAAGTACAATATATAAGAATGATCTAATAAGTATCAGTGCTCATCTTATGTTAAATATCACAATATAATAATATTGTATTGGTACCTCGAAATTTGCATTAACGTACAATGGGATGGGTATAATTCATTCACAAGGTTCTGCTTCATGATGTGCCCTCCCCAGTTTTGCCTGGAATTTTTTATAGATTTTTAAACTAAAATGAAATAGGAATGTGGGGAGGGGGATTCAGAGATTCTTATTGTTTATTGTTTTTTCTTGACTAAATAGAATACTTTATATCCTTTCCTTGTCTTCGGATTCCCAATTTTATCTGTATTTTCACCCCAAGTGCCAATATTTATGCGATTATTGACTTGGGTAAAAATGGTGCTTGTATTTACCATTTTTTTTATAACACTTTCGAGAAATTCAGGCAGGCTCCCGACCTTTCACGTGGTAGTGATTATGGGTCTTTTACCTTAAAAATTAAGATTTTGAGTCTCAACTTATTGTGATGTGAGTACCCAGATTCAAAGCTGTAGAATTTAACACGTCGGAAATTTAAAATCTTACTTTTGAAGAACCCATAACAACAATTTTTCAATTTTTGACCTTCTTCCGTACAAAATTTATTTGTTTTCACACAGAAAATTAAACAGAGAAATCGAGTGAATCTAGAGTGAGAAAATCTAGAGCAAGATTTCAAGAAAAGGGAAAGCTTTGGAAAAAAAAAGTCAAGACTGCATTTTTGTTTACTCATTCTATCCCTTCATCTCTTCCAAATTCAATTCAAGATTCATCAGAAGCATCCGTAGGCGATAATCATGTCTTCATCTACTCCATCATCTTCACATAACAATACTAGCACTGAACACAACGAGACACCAATACCCACAAAAGAGATCAAGAAACCAACTTTTATAGCACAGCATATGCAGAAGCCCACATGGGTCCTTCCATACAGGACACAAACCCTACAAAGTCTATACACTATAGGCAAGAAGCTAGGCCAAGGCCAGTTTGGGACAACCTTTCTGTGCAGTGAAAAATCAAGCAACACCCTTCATGCCTGTAAATCTATACCCAAGAAGAAGCTGATTTGTAAAGAGGACTATGAGGATGTATGGAGGGAGATTCAGATAATGCACCACTTGTCGGAGCACCCAAATGTGGTGAGAATAAAGGGGACATATGAGGATATCCTATTTGTGCACATAGTAATGGAACTCTGTGCAGGTGGAGAGCTCTTTGATAGGATTGTGCAGAAAGGGCAGTATAGCGAAAAAGAGGCTGCCAAATTGATCAAGACAATCGTTGGGGTGGTCGAGGCATGTCATTCTTTAGGGGTTATGCATCGGGACCTTAAGCCTGAGAATTTTTTGTTTACTAGTGCTGATGAGGATGCTACTCTCAAGGCCACTGATTTTGGCCTCTCTGTTTTCTACAAGCCAGGTATTTCTTTGATCATTTTCGGTTTCTTGGGAACCCTTTTTCTATTAATTGTTTGAAAGTTTTCATTTTATGTTTGTTTTGATTGTGTTTGAATTGCTGGGCTATCTGAGTTTTGTGCAATCCACCACATTTAGGTTTAGATGTGATATAGGTTATTTTTTGGCTTTGTGATTGATTGGTAATTTGATGTTTGTACGTTTACTATCATTTTCTTGCACAAGGCATGATTCTTTTATTTCTTGGGTTGTTGGTTTTCCAAATAATTTTAAAAAAGTGATCATAAAAAAGAATTAAAATAGAAAAAATGTTGACCGACAAAACTGATGGTATTTGATGAAAATAATATTTGCTGGTTATTCGTACAAAATTATGGATAGCATATTCGGTGATCATCAATGCACATCCATTAGCGATTATAGACGGTAATGTGACTTGTGATGTCGTTGGCAATCACCGAAGGTGTGTCGTTTGATGATCGTCGACGAAGTTGTTTGAGTCGCCTAATCACAAACCACAAAATCTTTAATTCATCTTCACCTGTGTTGAATTGAGTTACTTGGCCTCTGTTAGTTCTCTATCCTTCTTATTGAGTTATCAACACAATAATTTAATCTAAACTGAAAGCTTCGTTTAGATACTTGCTGTTGTCACAGATAAGTACAAATTATTGAAATTTAAAATGCGATATGCATTCCCTTTGATTAGATTCCAGGATTATGGGTAAACTTTTTTGTGCTTTCACAATGATTAATTTTGTTTATTCACTAAAAAAATGTTAATAGCTATAATCAACGCAATCCTATGTACCAAAGATTGCTTCTGATTCATTTTTCTGTTGTTAAATGGTTCATCTCTAGATTGTGTCGTAATGCTGTAATTATTGTGAAAGTGTATGAGAGTTCCTGACTGAAGGTCTTCTCCATGTCTTATAAGATGTTTTATGATTTGTTAATTTCAGTCATTCTAAGATAAAATTGCTAGTTTCATATTCATTTTGTTTTTCAGATGAAACTTTCAGCGATGTAGTGGGAAGCCCTTATTATGTAGCACCTGAGGTTTTGTGCAAACATTATGGACATGAAGCGGACGTATGGAGTGCGGGAGTTATTTTGTACATTTTACTCAGTGGTGTTCCACCTTTCTGGGCAGGTGTATTCCTGCTTAGTTCATTCATGTGTTTTGCATCAGAATGCCTTTTAAGAATTCAGTTTCTATAATACTAAAAATAACTAACACTTTTACATATTTTGTACTACTTCCAACACCAGAGACAGAGAAGGGGATTTTTCGTGAGATATTGCAAGGAAAATTGGATTTTGAATCTGAACCATGGCCTGGCATTTCAGACAGTGCTAAGGATTTGATAAAGAAGATGCTGGATAGGGATCCGAAGACAAGGATAACAGCGCATGAAGTCCTGTGTAAGAAACTTTACTGAGGAGATGATTAAATCAGTCATGGCACCATGGAAACAATTCTGGCACTGCATGTTTATCACAATGAAATGACTGTTTTCCTTTTCCTTTTCTTTATCAGGCCATCCATGGATTGTTGATGACAGAATGGCTCCTGATAAGCCACTTGATTCTGCAGTTCTTTCACGCCTCAAACAGTTCTCGGCTATGAATAAACTCAAGAAGATGGCTTTACGTGTAAGGTTTCTGCTGGTTTTTATGATTTTATTTATTATATATTGATTGTTGAACCCATTCGTATCTCTGTAAAAACTGATGGATAATTTATTATCTGTGAAACCATGGGCATTTCATTTTTTTTTTAAGAATAAACGCTAAATTTATCAAAAATATCGAGAACAGAGATTTGTTGCTAAGAATAATTTTGAGGAAACCATTCCACTCTATGAAAGAGTAGCAGAAAATAGAGACATTCTTTTTAATTTGCTTTCTTCCTAAAAATATTTTATCGCTTGGACATACTAGACAACAAAGATATATATACTGTTGCAGTAAAGTCATGTGGAGTACAAACATGCTGTAGCTGTATGGCTTTCTTTAACTTTTATAAATGTGAATTTAACTTCAGATCGTTTTTATATCTATATAAATAAATTATAATAGCAACACTTTTGCTATTTTGCTTGATGCCACTTGACCCTAAATGTTAGAGATGTGAATTGTCAAAATTTAGGACATGGGATATGGTTCAAAATGATCTTAACTTTACGTAAGCATTGTACGTGTTCTCTATGAAATTAGTATACTAACAATTGAATGCTCTCAATATTTCCTATGAAAATTTGAAAACAGGAGAAATCATAAAACTGAGAAAGAAGGCACTTCTTGTTAATTTGATCATAAATATGGTAGTTGTTGTGTCATTGGTTAGAGCATCATATCCAGTTTAAAAGTGTCAGATACAAATGGAAGAATCTCCATACCTTTTAGTCAGCTATCCCGTCCATGATTTTCTTACCGCCAGAGGAAAAAGAACATTTTTGAGTTATATGCACTTAATTGGTTATTCAAGCATATAGTATTTAGGAGTTCAAGTCAAGGAGAGTATATAATACATAGAAATCTTAAGAAAACTTTGTAATTTAGTCATTCTGTATTTCATTTAACTGGGACAAAAAATATATATCTTTTATCCCAATTTTACTCTTAGCAACTCCTATGTTCAAATCAAGATGGTGTCTAATTAGACCACGAAAATGAAATGAAGTTTTTATTTTCGTTGAACAGAAGTTCAGTTATACTAATGGTTT